ATGAGCGTTATGCCAAAGTTGACAGAACGATCCAAGATGCACTTGCTTGCTACAGAGAAATTTATAATGAAAAGAAAAAGCAAACTGTGCAGTCTAAATTGGACATCTATTTCAAGAAGTCCCCCAGTGCTGTCTCCTCACGCCCCACCAGTGCTGCCTCTTCACTCCCTCAAGATGATCCAATACCTTCAACCAGCAAGTTACCCCTGTACATAAACCTGTCTGAAGAAAGCGACATTGATGACCCACCCAGCCCTGTCTCCTCTTCTGCTTCTTCCAATTAATATAGTCTCCATGTATCCTGTAAATAGAAAATTATGGGGGCCCCGTGTGCATTCAGCTGACTACATTTAAGGTAAGTGCTCAGTCACACTGTATCCATTCCTCATTATTTATTACTTTCACTGTACTGTATCCATTCCTCATTATTTATTACGTTTAGTGTACTGTATTTCATTGTAGATTTTTTATTTTTTTTTGAAAAAAAAAAAAATAAATAAAAAATTGAAATTTTTTTATATTACAGTAGTACCCCGATTTACGTGGTCAATTGAACCCATGGGGTACCGCGGAAAGTGAAAACCGCGTAAAGTGAACAACAGAACATATGGGATTAATTCCAATAGAGACTGGCCCGACCCCCAAACTCCACTTTTTCCGACACAATACCTATGTTGTAGTAAAAATAACATCTAAATTTTATGATGGTATGCTCACACAATTAATATTTAAGAGAAATACAGTCGCCAGGTTAATGTCCATTCAAATAATGGACTCAAATCCCCCCCCCCCCCCTCTTCCCAGCTCACTAGCTCCTACCTCTCTGAGAAATGTTTGGGTGAAAACACTAGATTTTAACGTTTAGTAATAAATAATACCTCAGACTAAAGTTAGGATAATATAATTGACATTTCTGGATTCCTTGCAGGTCAGGGAATATTTTGAATGTAAACTTCATATATTTTGCACAAAAGATAAAATATTTGCTTTGTGTAAACCAAGTTATTACATTAGATCTAAAATTTGTATGTCTAATGCAAAATCCATGATGTTTATATTCAAAATGATCATCATATTGTAAGAATTCCAGCAATGTAAATTAAATTCTGGCCGGGTAATTTGTATGAATTTTATGAGCTAAATAAAAAAAAATATATATATATATATATATACTTCACGCGTATATGAGTAGATGCATAGCGGAAAGTGAAAGTCCGGTTCTGGCAAGGTACCGCGTAAATGAGAAATCGCGGAAAGTGAAACCGTGTAAAGCGGGGTAATACTGTATTTATTTTTTTTTTATCTATGTCGGACTTACGACCTGGATTTGGGTCTAGCTGTATTTGTATATGTATATATATATATATATAATCAACACTGCATGGCAGTGAACAGTGACATTACTTTGTATTTCTGTGTATGAACCTCTGTCCTGTGTGGCAGTGAGAAGTGATACCACCCTCAGTGTCAAGACCTGACTTGAATTACTCAGAATAGGCAAACTGTACTACAAGCTTTGCCAATAAATTTGTTAAACTTAAAAAAAAACTTGTAATATTGTGGTATTATGATTTGTATAGGTCCTTTCTCTAATCAAAATATACTAGCATAAAATGTTATTAATCAGATATATATTTAATAATATGTAATATACAGTGTAAATTGCCATGTAAATTATACAATAAGAAAATGTTCGACGCAATTTACAATAAAACGGGAACTCTGGTCGAATTGTAAAATATTCAATACATTTCCTCCCATTTTAAATATCACGCTTCTACTGTTTGATGTAACTCAGTGGGCGGAGCTTAATAAGTGATGTCATCGCTAGCCAATCAGCGACGTTTGATGGAATCCAGCGGTCGCAAGAAAGATATTTATATTTATTTTATATATTTAATCAGTGGCTCCAATTAAAATAAAACAAAAAATCTCCATTCTATACATTTATTGCACAACTTTTAATACCATCATAAGACTTCAAAAATACATAAATATAAATTTCATTTTTATTTTCATTAGCGTAGATTCTATGGGAGTAAGGCTACCTGGTATCTACCTACCTGGTATGCGCCGTCCCTCTGGGGCCCATTGCTATTCCGAGAAAAACACTGATGACGTTGCAAGAAAGTTTGGAAACAAAATGCGTGTGGAAAGAGTGTCTTTGGCGGGAGGATCTCTCACAGAGGAATCCTCTGGTGGGGTTCTGCCAATAAACAGAGAGACATTAAAACAATTGAAGGAAAAACATCCCCCTGCAAGTGAAGACAAAGGCATCAGGCTCCAGGGAGACTATATCCCACCAAATGGTGTCCTGTTCAAGAAAATAACAGGAGGGATGGTGTGGAAAAAGGCACTGAAAATTCAGGGAGGGGCCAGCCCTTCAGGTCTGCATGCAAACGGTTGGAGAGTCATCCTCAGCACTAACAAGTTCGGCCCCGTAGCAAGTGATCTCTGCACCGCCATTGCCACCCTTGCAAGAAAGCGAGGAACCTCGTGCTGCCAACACCTCCATGCTCTGACAGCCTGCCGCCTCATTCACCTGGATAAGAATCCAGGATGTAGGCCTATAGGGGTGGGGTAAGTGCTGAGGCGGATCCTTGGAAAATGCATAATGGAGGTGGTAAAGGATGATGTCAGGGCAGCAGCAGGGAACCTGCAAGTTTGTGCAGCCCACCAGGCTGGAGGGGAAGCAGCCATTCACGCCATGAGAACTATATTTGAACAGCGTGATCGTGAGGCCGTTCTCCTGGTTGACGCTTCCAACGCATTCAACATACTTAATCGCAAGGCAGCATTGCACAAAATCAAGATCAAGTGTCCAAGCTTTGCATATGTTGAAAACACTCATAGGAATCCATCAGACCTCTATATAGTAAACACCAAGGCTCTAAGAGGTGATACCGTCATCCAGTCAACTGAGAGAACAACACAGGGGGACCCTGTTGCAATGGCAATGTACGCACTAGGCCTGTCTATGCTCCAACACACAATAAAATTTGAAACAACCGAGGTCAAGCAAGTGGCATATGCTGATGACCTTATAGGAGCAGAAAAAGTGGAGGACATCAAAAAGTGGTGGGACTTGGTAACATCACTAGGTCCACAAGTAGGATACCACCCAAACCCCAGCAAGTCCTTCCTCATTGTGAAGCCAGAACATTATGAACGGGCAATGGAGGTGTTCGGTGGAAGTAAGGTCAAAATAACAAAGGATGGCCAAAGACACCTAGGCACAGTAATCAGCACGACGGACTTCAAGACCGAGTACGTAGCAGGAAAGGTGAATGAGTGGGTTAGGGTAATCCAAGCCCTGTCTGAGATTGCTAACACAGAGCCACACACGGCTTTTGCGGCATTCACCCACGGAGTCAAGCATCGCTGGAACTACCTGATGGGCACTATCCCTGATATCGGACCCCTCCTCCACCCTCTGGAAGAAGCTATCAGCGTCAATTTCATTCCCAAATTAGTGAAACACCCTCACTTAACCCCAACAGAAAGATCACTCCTTGCACTACCACCGAAACTGGGAGAAATGGGATAGACCAATCCAGAGGAGATTGCTGCCACCGAACATCAAAACTCAGTTAAGCTCAAGGCAGCCCTCACTGACCACATAATAGCTCAGAAAGCAACAGGTGAGTTGGATACCAGAGAAGTAAACAAGATTCGAAGGTCCATTACGACAGAACGACAGCACGGCTAAAGTGATAAGTTACAGCAACTGATGCTGCAAGTACCAGAGAATTTAAAAAAAATGTAGCTGTAGCGCAGGAGGTGAGCGCCTCAAACTGGTTAACTACGTTACCGATAAGGGCAAATGGTTTCAGTCTCAATAAACAAGAATTTACAGATGCCATTGCTCTTAGGTACGGTAGGCCAGTAGAAGGTTTGCCCGTCCTATGTGTGTGTGTCTCTTCCCATGATGTCAATCACGCCATGGTGTGCAAGAAAGGGGGCTTCATATGCATGAGGCATGACGAAGTATGGGATCTCACAGCCAAAATTTTGAAGGAAATCTGTCGTGATGTCAGGGTAGACCCGATCATCCTCCCATTGGACGGTAAGAATATCCAACGTAGGACTTCAAACACATCCAACGAAGCCTGTGTTGATGTCAGTGCTCGAGGATTCTGGATGCGGGGACAGCGAGCCTTCTTCGCCATCAGGATTTTTTATCCCATGGCTGCATGTCACTAACTTAGCTCTCGATGCTGCACACATGAGGAACGAGAACGACAAGATAAGGGCATATGGGGAGAGAATTCAGAACATTGATCAAGGCAGCTTCACTCCTCTGGTGTTCACAACCTCTGGTGGGATGGAACCAAGTGCAAGATGCTTCTACGCCAGACTCGCGGAGGTCCTATTCGAACAGAAGCAGCAGCCCAGAAATTATGTTACAGCCTGGATGAGATGTCGACTGTCCTTCTCTCTCCTTAGGTCTGCTTTACTCTGCCTCAGGGGAACGAGAGCATCGGCCACAAAGCCGACAACAGTTGCAGAGAGTGACTATGAGGCAACAGTCACCAAATGCCGCATAGATCTGCGGCTCAACTAACTCAACACATCTAGAATAGCTACTTATGTATTAGGATATTTAATTTTAAGGTAATAAAATGGCGGCGAAGGTGTGGCTATTGGGGGAGGATGGAGGCCACGTATTAAAAAACAAAAAGTATTAATAGTGGTAATGGTAGTAGTAGGTGTGCATGTGTGTGTCTACACACGCACATATATATACAGTACAGGTAACAGAAATAATTGTCCTCAGGGCAAACATACATTTCTTTGCACAAGAGTAAATGATATTGATGGTTTTGGCAATTAGCGGCCATTTTGAGACACAAACCCCCATTAATTTTAAGGGCATGCTGTACATCAATGTTTCTTGACAAAATCTCCCTTTCTAATTATCACTATTAAAGGTTTACATTACTGTACAGTACTACCACAACATAAATATCGCAAAATTTACAAATCCAAAATGTACCTACCTGGCCATAGTTGAGCTGAAGACCAAGAGCAACAATCAAATATTCATAACTAATTTCCTGGCCATCATCTGTTGTTACCTTACTGCTCTTTGGGTTAAAGCTCACAACACTCTGCTTGATCCAATCAGCCTTCTTGGGAAGTACCTACAACAACAAGGAAAAATATTTGGTCAAATTCAAAAGGTCAAGAAGGTAAGCACTGTAATCTCATTGAATTAAAAAACATTTAATAACTTTAAAGTGATTACACAATGTCCAAGCTGACTAGTTTAAGATGGGTCTTAAGCATCCAAGACATTTATACCTGTAATGCAGAGAAGCCAGTAATACATGATGAACTTCTTGGAAAGACTAGAGTGACATAGAAAACTTAAATATACTGTATATGTCATGCTTGCTTATGCCAGTTTTGCAAAAATTAGATTTACACAATCACAGTTCCCTTTTCACAACCCGAATTTCATGTGCTGGGCAAAGTCCACAAGTATGCAAAATACAAAATGCGCTTTTCAACTTTCCAGTGTATAATGCATCCTGGTAAAACATCTCGTATACCAGAACAGATTTGGTGAGTGTTGTATGAAAACATTTGTTCTGTTCTATTTGTTGACTTGATTCAGCCTTTTTGTTGCTGATAAAACCTCCTCCAAAGTGTAAGCTTCTCCACTCTATATGACATTCCATAACCCTATGATGACCCTACACCAGCCTCTCCTCCAACAATCAATCCACTGTACTTCCCTACACTTGCTGTGTAGCCAGGCTGGCAAATGTTCTTTAACATTACGAAATGCAAGACCTTACATGTAGGATACAACAACCCAAATCACAACTATTCTGTTAATAACACTTTCCTGGATACTGATGATAAGGAGAAAGATTTTGGCATTGTGACAGATCATTCACTGAAGGCAGCAATGAAAAAAGCAAATCAAGATTTGGGAATTATAAAGTGTACATGTACAGTATTACCCCGCTTAACGCGGTTTCGCTTAGCGCGTTTTACCGTATACGCGGTGCCTCGCCAGAGCCGAACTTTCACTTAACGCAGGTTTTTTCCACGTATACGCGGTGAGTGTCCGGCTCGAGAGCTATTTTTAGATTCGCCCCACCCCCCACCCGCCACCCTGCCTGACTGCCTGTTTTAGCTCATAAAATTCATACAAATTACCCGGCCAGAATATAATTTCCATTGCTGGAATTCTTACAATTAGGTGATCATTTTGAATATAAACATCATATATTTTGCATTAGACATACAAATTTTAGATATAATGTTTACTCTGAGTAAATATGTTATCTTTTGTGCAAAATATATGACATTTATATTCAAAATATTCCTGGTCTTACAAGGAATCCAGCAATGTCAATTATATTATCCTAACTTTAGTTTGAGGTATTATTTATTAAAATCTAGTGGTTTTCCCCCAAAAATTTCTCAGAGGGAAGAGCCAGTGAGTGTAGTGTGAGAAGAGGGGGAGGGAGTCGAGTCCATTATTTGAATGGACATTAACTTGAAGACTGTATTTCTCTATTTCTCTTAAGTATTAATTGTGTGCATGTACCATCATAAAATTAAGATGTTATTTTTACTAGAACATAGGTATTGTGTCGGAAAAAGTGGAGTTTGGGGATCGGGCCAGTTTCTATTGGAATTAATCCCATATGTTCTGTTGTTCACTTAGCGCGGTTTTCAGTTAACACGGTACCCTGTGGGTTTTATTGACCGCGTTAAGCGGGGTACTACTGTATCTTTAAATATAAAGATAGGAAACTCCTCCTTGAACTATATATTCATATGCAGTACATTCCAGTCTGGATTACTGTATACAGGTATGGAAACCCTACAGTACCTCCAGAAAGATCTAACATCCCTAGAACAGATGCAACATAGAGCGACTAAGATGGTTCCAGAACTGTCATCTCGATTATTCAAGTAGACAGAGGGTCTTAGGACTAACAACCTATCAGACAAAGCACAATACGGCAGATGTCATTGAAATACTCAAAATCCTGAAAGGGATGGGAAATGTGATCCCGGGACATTTCCTTGTGAAGTCATGCACTACCAACACGAGAAGACATCATAACTACAGTAAAAGCTCAACAATTTATCATGCAAAAAGCCTGATAGACCCATGGAATGGTCTACCAGCCAAAGCTGTGGAATCAAGAAGAGTACAGTAATACCCCGCTTAACACGGTTTCGCTTAGCGCGATTTCACGTATACGCGGTGCCTCCCCAAAGCCGAACTTTCACTTAACGCCCACGTATACGCGCAGAGTGTCCGGCTCCAGACGCTATTTTTAGATTCGCCCCACCCCCCACCTGCCACCCTGCCTGACTGCCTGCCTGCCTGTTTTAGCTCATAAAATTCATACAAATTACCCGGCCAGAATATAATTTACATTGCTGGAATTCTTACAATATGATGATCATTTTGAATATAAACATCATAGATTTTGCATTAGACATACAAATTTTAGATATAATGTTTACTCTGAGTAAATATGTTATCTTTTGTGCAAAATATGACATTTATATTCAAAATATTCCTGGTCTTACAAGGAATCCAGCAATGTCAATTATATTATCCTAACTTTAATCTGAGGTACTATTTAATACTAAATGTTAAAATTTAGTTTTTTCACCCAACATCTCTTGAAGGGAGGATTGGTGGGGGGTGGGGGGGGAGGGTTGGGACTGACCGACCACCTGGGTGGTTGGAAGAAGGGGGGAGGCAAGGTGGGGTACTTTGATTGACAGATAGAGTTGTGAAGAATATTATTTTTTTTTTTTATTAACTGAAGATATTTGTTTTAGCTCATAAAATTCATACAAATTACCCGGCCAGAATATAATATACATTGCTGGAATTCTTACAATTTGGTGATCATTTTGAATATAAACATCATAGATTTTGCATTAGACATACAAATTTTAGATATAATGTTTACTCTGAGTAAATATGTTATCTTTTGTGCAAAATATATGACATTTATATTCAAAATATTCCTGGTCTTACAAGGAATCCAGCAATGTCAATTATATTATCCTAACTTTAGTTTGAGGTATTATTTATTAAAATCTAGTGGTTTTCCCTCAAAAATTTCTCAGAGACGGAAGAGCCAGCAGTTTAGTGTGAGAAGAGGGGGAGGGAGTTGAGTCCATTATTTGAATGGACATTAACTTGGTGACTGTATTTCTCTATTTCTCTTAAGTATTAATTGTGTGCATGTACCATCATAAAATTAAGATGTTATTTTTACTAGAACATAGGTATTGTGTCGGAAAAAGTGGAGTTTGGGGATCGGGCCAGTTTCTATTGGAATTAATCCCATATGTTCTGTTGTTCACTTAGCGCGGTTTTCACTTAACACGGTACCCTGTGTGTTTTATTGACCGCGTTAAGCGTGGTACTACTGTATCTTATTTGTATCACTTATGTTACTTGTATATTATTTATAATTTGAAACCCATTCCCCAAATATGTAACAGTATATTTTCAGCCTTCTGGCTGCCAAGCTCTTTCAATAAACCGTTAATTATTATTATTATTATTATTATTATTATTATTATTATTATTATCATTAAGTTAGCCTGAGCTAAGAACTTCAACATAGACTACTGAAAACACGTTGTAAGGTAATTTAGCCTATTGTAAGTTGGTGAGCTTCATTTGCTGAAGGAACTGCACAACTTTTCATTACTAATTGGTACAAATTTTATGTTTCCATTGTTTACTGGCAGTAAATGGTAAATATTTTTCATGTCTGAAGCTAAAGGTTGCATCCCCCCCTCCCCCCACACTAGTGGTAATGTTACATTTGACCAAAAAGATGCTGGTGTTTTATCCGGGCAGTGGGTGGACCAGCATTTTAGCTTAAGGTCCGCGTAAGTAATATTCCTACAAATCTTAAAAAAAAAAAAAAAAAAAAGTTCGTTCAGATTTTGTCCGAATTATCCGGAATAAAGGGGTCCGAATTAACGAGGGTCGACTTATTTACTCAGAGTAAACAAAATACTTACATTAGATCTAAAATTTGTATGTCTAATGCAAAATCTATGATGTTTATATTCAAAATGATCATCAAATTGTAAGAATTCCAGCAATGTAAATTATATTCTGGCCGGGTAATTTGTATGAATTTTATGAGCTAAAACAAAAATCTTCAGTTAATAAAAAAAAAAATATTCTTCACAACACTATCTGTCAAAGTACCCCACCTTGCCTCCCCCCACCCTCTTCCAACCGCGCCAGATGGTCGGTCGGTCGGTCCCTCCCTCCCTCCCCCCCACCCCCCACCAACCAGAGCAGCTGTTTTGAGAATGCCAGGAGACTGGAGCACCAGGTACCTCAGACAGGGCACAGAGTAGAGCACTCTCCTCGGGGGAGGAGACCTCCACTAGGAGGCTACCATATTGCTGAGTGAATATTTTTGGTTCTTTCCCTGTTCATAGAAAAATGTCCAGGTCAATTACAGGCTTGCCTTCCATGGTACAGAGCACTAGATATTTTGCCAATTCTATCTGCATAAACACACCTGGTAGTATCTCACGGGTAGAAGCATCATGGGGGGGTGCCAGGCCTTCTGCTGGTCTTATACTTGAGTATCTGTCGTGACTCAGAGCCACTTTTCCCAATGTGATAGGGCCAAAATGTAGCAATTGATGATCCTGAGGGGGGTCCAGGGACGTCAGGGAAAGTATCTGGCTGGTAATTTAAGTTTTTTCTTTCCATAAAGAAACCAAATTACTACCCCCCCCCCCCCCCCAGGAGCCCCCAACAAAGAGAGGTCGATGCCAGAGATAAGACCCTGGTGACCAAGATGGCAGCTCCTGGACCATAGGAGTGCCCCTGATGTCCACTTGACCCTAGCCACACTGTGACCAGCCGATTGACTTGATCGTGCTCAAACAAGCCACCCATTTAGCTGAAATTGGGAACCAAAGAGGTGTGTTGCTAGCCTCAGGATGTAGCGTGCAGCATCACTCAACCTCCAGGACTCCCTTTATCATGGGACATCACATGGCAAAAATGTGGGAGAGTATTCCAACTCCGGTGATCTGGGTTGGGGACGATGCTGCCAGTCTGCTCTCAATACCAGCAGCAAAAGAGAAACAATTTTGTCTGGACCCTCCCCAGCGACCTACCCAGTTTGGGACGCCTTCCCCTCCCTCCGACGAAGGAAGGGGGGGCCAAACCCTCCTCCTGTACCGCTCACTAGATCATCGGGATTCACAACCCCCCAATGACATCAAGGTGGCTCATGAGGGGAGGGGGGTGTAAAATGAGACCCCACGGTATATACTGTAGTGTAGGGTACCTTTTAATGAAGTAAAACACAAAGGATAACTTAACACTGTACAATATACTGACCTTCTTCATAGGTTTTCCTGAATTTTCTAGTTTCTTCATTCCTCCTCCCACAAGTGTCCACATGGGCTGGTAGTAATGTATCTGTAAACATTAATTATATTTTGAATTAAAATTCAGATTGTGAAATATTTAGAAAAAGAATAAGGTTTCTTTTTTATTTGACTATGGAGTGGAGTTACTGCTACAATGGTAAGCCAAAGTAACTTATAAAAACAAAATTGCATAAATGAAAGCTTGAAACACGAAATCACATTTTATGGCCATTGGCGGTGTTGTAAGTCATCATTGTTTAAACTGACCATGATCCCTTAAGTTTTCAAATAAAATGAAGAATAAGAATCAAGGAATAATGAGGTGGTCTCTGGCCTTACAGCTAACCAGACGACTTTTTCAAACCCAGAAAAATTCCTTATCCCCGGAACCTTTTCCGGTTACTGGAAAAGTTTCCAAGTGTCTAAACTAAACCTCTTGTACAGACAGACACTAGCCCACTTCCCCAGAACGTTTCTGGGTGCTGGGGATATTTTCCTTGATTCTAAACTACTGGAATCAGTAAATACAGTTCTAATTAAGTTAGAAACTTAATTTCTTTACTATGATAATCCAGAACAGTTTGTCTAAAAGTTTGGTTCAATAAATATATTTAAAATTTAAAAATCTCTATGATATGGGCATAAATGAAGCTGTGTATTACAGCAAGGACTTATTTTCCACTCCCATGGAGCTGTGGGGGATTAGTGGGTTTTGTGTAACTGATCTGACCTGATGCAATGTCAGGTGGAGGTAGGGTGGGGGATTAGTGGTCTCATATTACTGAGAAATGTATATTCCCTTTAAGGGTTTGCCCTTAGGATAATTATTTCTTTTACCTGTAATATTGTATATGCATGTGTGTGTAGACAAACACACACAAAGACACACATAATGTACACACACAATACACTTACAAATAAATAATAATTGGAAAATCTTCTCACAAATAATCAGAAACAAATTTATTAAATTTATTATGTGAGCTTATCCTCACGTCCGTGCTCTATTAATAAAGTGCTGTAATAGAGCACGGACTTGAGGGTAGACTGTCACATTATTAATAAATTTGTTTCTAATTATTTGTAAGTGTTTTGTGTATGTGTGTGTCAACACACACACACACACATATTTACAATACATTTAAAGGAAATTACTGTCTCTAAAACGAATGGTTCCCTGTCCCAGCCGAGAAAATGCCGGCAACTTTACAACTACCCACAGACATTATTGGGTACATCCAGGGTGTCATCAGTGAAAAACCGAGAAGTAAAAATCCGCAAACTTGGGGGTCCCCTGTATAAACATTAATACATAGTCAGTAATTCAGTGGTTACTTCTACTGTACATTAAATAACAATAATTAAAACATAATATATATATATTTTTTGTTTACATTAATTTTACTACAGCAACAACCAGGGTCTTATTTTGGTCAGTTTCACATGGATAACTTACATTATGGATGAAAACACTGAAAGCAACAATGGTGTCTCATCTCCTCTTGTGTGACCTTATTATTATTAATTTATATCGCATAAGGTGCATTAATAAATATTATTTAAAGAATATAATTTGCAGTTTTCATTGTACAGTTGTACCCCACTTAACGCGGTCAATAGAACCCAGAGGGTCCAATGTTAAGTGAAATCCGCGTTAAGTGAACACCAGAACATATGGGATTAATTCCAATAGAAACCGGCCCGACCCCCAAACTCCACTTTTTGAAGACACATAACTATGTTGTAGTAAAAATAACATCTTAATTTTATGATGGTACATGCACACAATTAATACTTAAGAGAAATAGAGAAATACAGTCGCCAAGTTAATGTCCATTCAAATAATGGACTCGACTCCCTCCCCCTCTTCTCACACTAAACTGCTGGCTCTTCCCTCTCTGAGAAATTTTTGGGGGAAAACCACTAAATATTAATAAATAATACCTCAAACTAAAGTTAGGATAATACAATTGACATTGCTGGATTCCTTGTAAGACCAGGAATATTTTGAATATAAATGTCATATATTTTGCACAAAAGATAACATAGTTACTCAGAGAAAACATTTTATCTAAAATTTGTATGTCTAATGCAAAATATATGATGTTTATATTCAAAATGATCACCAAATTATAAGAATTCCAGCAATGTAAATTATATTCTGGCCGGGTAATTTGTATGAATTTTATGAGCTAAAACAGGCAGACAGGCAGTCAGGCAGGGTGGCGGGTGGGGCAAATCTAAAAATAGCGTCTGGAGCCGGACACTCACCGCGTATATGTGGAAAAAATCCGTGTTAAGTGAAAGTTCAGCTCTGGCGAGGCACCGCGTATATGAAAAAACTCGTTAAGTGAAACCGCGTTAGGCGGGGTAATACTGTATTTGTTTTTAGGGAAAGAGATTCCGAGTACCCAAACAACTTTTTCAAACCTGGAAAAATTGCTTCGTCCCAGAACCAGTGTTGACAAGTGATAAGCTCCTCAACAGCTGATCTTTTAATTCGCCTGCATACAGTCACACAACAAGCCCCTCACTGGATGCTTGTCTTAATATTGTTTTTCTTTTTTTTGTCACACACCCTCCAACACCACCGATACACCCCCTCCAACACCACCGACACACCCCCTTCAACACCACCGACACACACCCTGCAACACCACCGACACACACCCTCCAACAACACCGACACACACCCACCAACACCATCAACACACACCCTCCAACACCACCGACACACACCAATACCACCGACACATACCCTCAACACCACTGACACACACCCTCCAACACCACCGCACACACCCTCCAACACCACCGACACACCCTCAACACCACCGACACACCCTCCAACACACCCGACACACAACCTCCCAACACCACCTACACACACACCTCCAACACCACCCAGACACACACCAACACCACCCGACACACACCCCGACACCACCGACACACACCCTCCAACACCACCGACACACAACCTCCAACACCACCAACAACACACCTCTCCAACACCACCAACAAACAATCTCCAACACCACCAACACACACCCTCAACACCACCGACACACCAACACCACCAACACACACACTCCAACACCACCCAACACACACTCCAACACCACCGACACACAACCTCCCTAACACCACCAACACACACCTCCAACACCACCAACAACACACCTCCTCCAACACCACCAACAACACCTCCTCCAACACCACCAACATACACCCTCCAACACCACCGACACACACCCTCCAACACCAACCGACACACACCTTCAACACCACCAACACACAACCCTCCAACACCACCAACACACACCTCCAACACCACCAACATACCCTCCAACACCACTGACACACCCACCAACACACCTCCAATGCCACCAACACACCTCCAACACCACCAACACACATCCCAATGCCACCAACACACATTCTCCAAAGCCACCAACACACATCCTCCAATGCCTCCAACACACACCCTCCAACACCACTGACACACCCTCCAACACCACTGACACACCCACCAACACCACCACACACACCCTCCAACACCACCGACACACACCTCCAACACCACCGACACACCCTCCAACACCACCGACACACACCTCCAACGCCACCAACACACATCTTCCAACACCACCAACATACACCTCCAACACCACCAACACACACCCTCCAACACCACCAACACACCCCTCCAACACCACCGACACCACCGGACACACACCCTCCAACACCACCACAACACACACCCTCCAACACCACCAACACACACCTCCAACACCACCAACACACACCCTCCAACGCCACCAACACACATCTTCCAACGCCACCAACACATCCAACACCACCAACATACACCTCCAACACCACCAACACACACCCTCCAACACCACCAACACACACCCTCCAACACCACCGACACCACCGCACACACACCCAACACCACCAACACACACCCTCCAACACCACCAACACACACCCTCCAACGCCACCAACACATCTTCCAACGCCACCAACACATCTTCCAACACCACCAACAACATACACCCTCCAACACCACCAACACACACACCTCCACCACCAACACACACACCCTCCAACACCACCAACAACACACCTCCAACACCACCCACACACACCCACCAACACCACCGACACACCTCCAACACCACCACAACACACACCCTCCAACACCACCAACACACACCTCCAACGCCACCAACACACATCCTCCAACGAACCAACACACATCCTCCAACGCAACCAACACACATTCTCCAACGCCACCAACACACACCCCAATGCCCAACACACACCACCACCAACACACACCCTCCAACACCACCAACACCACCAACACACACACCCTCCAACACAGCCAACACCCTCCAACGCCACCAACACACACCCTCCAACGCCACCACACACACACCCTCCAACGCCACCCAACACACACCTCCAACGCCACCAACACACATTCTCCAACGCCCAACACACACCTCCAACACCACCAATGCACACCCACCAACAACACACCTCCAACACCACCAACACACACCTCCAACACCAACACACACCCACCAAGACACACCTCCAACACCACCCACACACACCAACACCACCAACACACACCCTCCAACGCCACCAACACACCTCCTCCAACGCCACCAACACACATTCTCCAACGCCTCCAACACACGCCCAACACCACCAATGCACACCCACCAACAACACACCTCCTCCAACACCACCAACACATACCCTCCAACACCAACGACAAACACCCACCAAGACACACCCTCCTACACCACCGACACACACCCTACAACCAGGGCTGTGGAGTCGAAGACAAAACCTTCGACTCCGACTCCGACTCCTCAAATTTTTATGCTTCCAATCCGACTCCGACTCCTTGGCCTATTTGTAACAACTATTTCTACCATCCTAATTGTAATTTGTATGTTGTAACCTGCATAGGTAAAAGTAAACACCGTATATACTGCTACAGCTTTATTAATGATCTGACGATATTTA